GATGAGGATGGAAACAGACATGAGGATATGGTGTCAACTCCTGTTGAGTAGAACGCAGGTGCGGACAGTTGCCTGGACAAACAAGACAAGGCACCGCAGGGGTTGCACCATGTACAAAACTCCATCTAGTAAAATGCAGCCTAGGCACCGACTGGGAATAAACGATATTTGGCGATATACACACGGGCATCGCCTCATGGAGATCAAATAACAGCGGTTATTGCCGCATCGCAGCTAGACATCGTCGCAACGTATGCCAGAGAAGAGTGATCGTGTTGTCTTTGTCGCTGGAAACCACCTGAGCCCAAGGTAGAGCAAGCCGGAATTCATCTCTGGCGGGTGGTATATTTATCGGTGGTAATTTGCATGAAGAAGGCGATGAAATGAGAGACACAGAAGCAAGGAGAGTGGCCAACAGGCGACCGTTGGAAACATTCGATGACAATGCCATCTACAAAGTGAGGCGACGCAGAAGACAACGCATGCACAGAAAAGAGGCAACGAGAAAACAAGGACATTTGAATCCCGACAATATTGATAACAATGTACAGCTGATTGACCCAACATTCGGTCTCAGTTTCAACCTGATTCAATATTGAGTGCATGAATCGGGGTGAAGGCGACATGCTTTTTCCTCCGTCTCCATCTCTACCAAGGAATATCGAGAGAAGCAACATGCAATATGACTGTCCATGTTTCAAAGCACAATCCTCCATAGTCCCTTCTCCTCAAACCCGCTCCGATCAGTCCTCATCGTCATCTCCACCCAGTCCGGCATTCTTTCTCATCATAGCAACATCGTCCTCCAGATCTTGAATCTTTCTCGCCAGCTTCTTCTTCAAGATGGCATTGGTTGTCTTCTTGAGCAGCTCTCTCTGCTCCGCAATCTTGTTCTGCATATCCTCAATCCTCTCCATGACTTGACGTTTATTCTCATCACCCTCTTTCTCGGCATCGTCTCGGTCTTCATCGTCATCTCCCGCATCCTCGTCTTCGTCCTCGTCAGAAGAAGCTTCTGCAGCTTCTGCAGAGATGGGGGTGTGTGCGGCCGTCATAGAGGGGGAGGCTGACGTGCTAGTCACTGCGAATGATGAGTCGAGGCCCGCTTCAGGCGGGTGCAATGTATTTCGAGCTTGTCCAGCTGTGTCTGTAGAAGGTGCGGCGTCCTCGTCAAAGAACATGCGCTCGAGAGCATCGAGGTCATCTTGTCCAACTTCCTCCTGCACAGGAGTTTCGGTGAGCATTGGTGTTTCGACCATGGAACCATGCACACCGGGTGCTATGTCGAAATAATCCTCTGGCTCGGCCTCGGCGTCTTCATCTTCTTCCAGTTCCGTGCTGTATCCTTGTTCATCGAGGCGCGGATCATGGTCCAAAAGTTGATACTTGGAGCTGAGGGCCGCCTTGTCTGCCTCGAGGAGAGCGTGGACTCGCCGCTCAACCGCCTCAATATCATCCACTCGTGCTCGTTTTGTTCTCGCAAACCTTCTCTTTCGAACCCACTTCATGGGCGCAGTGAGGCCATGGGCGTACTGATAAGTCTTGGGGTCAACGTCTTCGGGAAGAGGATAGTTCCGAGCTTCCTCCTCGTTGTTGCAGCGGCCAAGCACCAAAAGCATCTGGCAGATGTCGATGCTCTTGATCCACCCTTTCTTATCCCATGACTTCATTCCTTCGATAATGCATGGGAGATCAACCAGGGTGGTGGCGTACTTGTGGTCCTTGATCTGGAGAATACCTCTTCTGCCCAGCGTATCGAGCATTCTGAGATTGACGTGTGCACCTCTTGCAAGTACCTGACCCGCCGTCCCATCCTCAATCGCTTTGCGCAAGTAATCACAATCCTCCCCAGGTTGCATTCGTAGAACAAAGCCTTCGTGGATGACTGGATCAACCTCACGACCAACCAATGTCTCGCCCTTGTCATTCTGATATTCCGTCTCGAGTTCGGAGTCATAGCCCACTCCCAACGATCGCTTGGGGATCTTGCCCTTGATTTTGAAGGCCAGGTGCGCTGTGCCCGAGGGTTTGGGTGCGGATGTAGGGGTTGCTTGGGATTTCTTGAACGTGAGTTTTCGAAATGCGGCGGGCTTGGGAGGCGCTGGTGCTGGTCGATTTCCTTCATCGTCGTCTTCTCCAGGCCGTGCTTCGCGTTTGCGTTTCTTGGAGGACGAACCCGGGGTTTCGGCCGCGGTATCTGTGTTCTTTTTCTTTTTCTTTGGCTTTGCGGACTCTTCAGGACCGGTTCGAGGGGTGCTCGTGCCTGGGAGTTTGAGCTTGATGGACGGTGTCCTGACTGCACTCTGGGGCGTCGGGGTCTGCACCGCCGCAGGCTGCCCTGCTCCAGCTTGAGTGATGGCAGGTTTGCTGGGAAACTTGAGTTTCAGGGACGGGCGCTTTGCCTTGTCAGGGGGAGGGAGAGGCGCGTCCGACATCTCGAATTCGTCCTCGTCGTCGGTTTCGTCGCCGCTAATGTTGCCAGTTATAGAGCCTCCGTCGCAAGAGGGAGAGGGAGGGTCATTCTCCTCGTCGGAATTACGGGGCCAAGGAGAATCGTCGATGAAGTGCTGGACTTCAGGCTCAAGTCGGACGGTGACACTCTTGGGTCTGCCTTTTGCGGCGGTTGAGTTTAAATTGCTCTTTCTGATACCGGAAGATGGATCAGGTTTGAGGATAGATTTGGCTTGACGTGGTTGCCGGTGGGCTGGACTGCGCAGCCGGCTTCGGGGTTTGTCTGGGGAGCACTTGGGTGTCAGGGCGATTTTGCTCTTGCCATGCTTTGGCGCCTGTTTGGCGATGCTGGGGCGCGCGTCATTGGGCGGGTCCGCCTCGTCAGGCGCCTGTGGTGGTGGAGAGAGCGTGGCGAACAAGTCATCAGCCGCCGCTACGACCACAGGCGCAGCCCCCTGCATGCCTGGGGAGCCTGGGCCCCTTAGCGGTGCAGCATCATTGGCGGCAGCCCTAGACTGTGGCATGCCATTATTTGAAGCTAGCGAATTCTCTTCCACACCTCCAACTGCCTCTTCCTTCCTGATAAACGGGTTGTTGTATTGGACCGTATCCCTCAGTGTGACCGGCCATCGAAGCAGCAACTCAGGCCGGAGCCCGAGTCGCACGTAGGAGGCTGACGGCGAATCAGGCAGTCGGTAGTGTTCCAGCTTTTTGCGCTTCACCCATCGCACCAGCGGGTCGGGAACTGGATTTGGATAGGCACGAAGAGCTGGATCCGCGATTGGCGGTAGATTGGCCTTCTCTCGAGATGACCTGACCATCCTGATTGTCTGTCCCGTGAAGTCTGTTTGAGCCTCGAATTTTGTTTTCTCCTTTCTATGTTTTGCGCAGAACCAGAAACGCGTCCAGCAAGGCAGTCACAATGACTTCAGCCGACCTTCACACCGCGCTTTTGCGCCCGGCAGTTCTTCAAATTCTTCGTGCCGCTGGCTTCAGCGCCGCGCGACCTGTGGTGATCGATACTGTCACCGACCTTGCAGCTCGCTATCTTCTCTTACTAGCGTCTTCGACCGCTCAAAATGCGTTCAACACGCACAACACTTTCGTGCCGACTATTCAGGATGTGAGGCTCGCGCTGACTCAGGCTGGAGCGTTGGTGCCGCAGATGAACACCGTGGAGGAGAGCGTGAGGGGTGATGTGGAGATTATGGAAGGAGTGTGGGTGCCGTTTGAGGATTTACGAGGAGTCGAGGCGTTCGTGAACTGGGCGCATGGGCCGGTCAACAAGGAGATCAGGAGGATCGCTGGCTTTGGAGACGATGTGAACGTGGAGGAGATTGCGGCAGGGTTGGACGAGCAGGAAGATTATGTTTCTGGTAAGTTCATCGCCTTGCTGTGGTTTTCGAGTGACGGAGAGTTTGCTTGCGACAAAATTCCAAAGTCAGGTGGTAGTGACAGAAATGTGAAACTGACTTTGTCGTTGGACCTGAGCAGCGTTGAAGAAGCGCCACAGCAAGACCGGCGAAGCAGTCCGCTACCAAGGCACCGTTCTCGGCAAGGATACAGAGTTACAAGCGGTAACAATCGTGGGCGGACCTGCTGCTTCGATTGCAGAATGGACGCAAAAGTCCTTCGCCGCCACTCGAGCTTCATCCAGCCTGCGCCCTGGCCAGGACGAGGATGCTGCCACCCCCGCGACATCTGGTATCAGCAGCGCACCGCTCACTCCGATTGATTCTGAATGAATGGGAGACGGACCACGGCATTGCCACACACGTGGAGGTGAATCATTCAGTTGCTGTACACAGATCGTCGGAATCTACACCGCAAACAGGTGACAGGGCTAAGGGTCGATATTCACTTCACCATCGAGCCCATCGACAAACCACGCGACCGAGCACGATACTTCTCCCCAGAACAAAATCATAATTTAGAATCACAACATCGAAGTCACCAACTGTCGATATTGCCGCCATTGCGCCCAGGCAGCAAATTCCTCAATGTCGACAAAGCCGTCGACATAGGCTGACTCTCGCACCAATCCCTGCGCAGAATCGAAGATCTACTGCCCACGGAGACAGTAGAATCAAGGACCTCAAGCATATTGCGCAGCAAAGGCCAGGGAAGATGCTCAGTCCGAGACGTTGTTACGAGATACATGAAGAAATCATCTCGTTGGGCGGGAGGAAGATCAGACAAGACTGGTGTCATCACACCGCATGCACACAGCATAAGACTTGAAGCCAGCCTCGAACAAAGACCAATCCTCAACAATGAGGATTATGAACTTGACACAAAGCATCCGATTAATGATCAATGATATTACAACAATTACTTCTCCCGCACGTGTCTGCTCCTACAGAGACAAGGAAACAAGGACTTGACATAGTCCCTACTCCAGCCCACCGATGACAGAACCCGTAGATACGCTTCCCCCCGTCCCCCAATCCCTTGATTCCCGTGGGTAGGTGGGTGAACGAACGGACGATACTATCGTACATCTGCTTCGTATCATCGAATACTCAGTTCTCCCATACGGAAAAGTGAATTCAGGCCTCGTCCATCTTTGCCCAAGTCGCCATCCTCTTTGGACGGACGACGACATGGTGTCTCGCCGACGGCAACGGCAACGCAGACGACGATGGAGGAGGACCCACGCCCGCAACTGAGGGCTTGTCGGCAGGTTCGGAGACCGACTGTACGGGACCGAAATGAGTCACGAACGTCGTCAGGACACCTCCGTCGCTCTGGGTGCTCATTGCAAACCAATCTCCCGTGGTTGGGGTTGCCGTGCCGTTGGTTTCCTGGTCGGTCGATGATGATGATGGAGCAGCTATAGGCATCAGACCTGAGGGAGGACCAGCGGAGTTGAGTGTAGAGTTATCGTTGTCCGCGGAAGGCGACGTCGCTGTCGAGGGAGTCGGTGATGTCTCGCTGGTGGTAGCATTAGACGCGGTGCTTAGTTCAGTCGGCTCAGGCGCATTCGTCGTGCTAGAAGCGTCACTGCCTGTCGGAGCCAAGGGCGTGGTCCAGTTCCAGTCCCTCCACAGATACGATGGGGTCAGGGAACACGGTTGGCCGCCGCTGCTTGTGGTATTGCTCCAGAACGGTGACGAGGTTATACTCGCTGCTGGAAAACCCGAGGCGCCGCCACTCACTGTTGATGACGTTGTAGTAGCGTTGAATATCCCCGTTGACGTAGAGTTGTCAGCTGGCGCCCCTGTGCTGGAAGCCGTTCCATTAAGAGTTGGCGAGGAAACAGGCAGGGCAGAAGAGTTTGATGTCCAGGCTGTGGCACCGGCCGACCATGTTGTGGACGAGGATATCGCTGTTATTGGAAAAGTCTCAGAAGCGGCTTGGGATTGCGAACCTGTCGGTGCTGCTGAGTTTGATATGGCCGAGATCAACGACGAGTTGTTGGGTGAAGGAGAAGATGATGTCAGTGGAGTCAATGGTTGACCCGTCGAAACAATGCTGGTCATGTTGCTCCCTATCACGATTGTCATGGTGATCGGTGCAGACTCTGCTGGCCATGTTGAATCGCTGACAGAGCCTGTGCTGTTTGCAGATCCCATGGCTTGTCCCGAGCTCGTAACAGATGAGGTATGATTGCGTTTCCCCCGAACGGTGGCCGTTAGAGTGATTTCCTCTGGTGGTGGAGTGATCGGGGAGGGCGTAATCGGCTGTGGAGTGGCTTCTATCGTGAGAGTGATCACAGTGCCTTCGACAATAGGCGATGCGTCCGTCTCAATTGGAGGCGAGGTATATCCCAAAGCTGACAACGAAGTATTCGTCCACAGAGGACCATCAGTGGGTGTCCCAGTGGGCCATGCTGAGTTCGAGCTGTTGTAGGGACTGCAACTTGAGCCTGATACATAGGTACAGGAGAGATTAGAAGGAGGCAAGGCCCAGATCGTAGTAGTGGATCGCAGCGTCGTAGTGGTTGTCGATGAGATATTGGAGCTGTCTGTCGTCGTTGTCCCATTTGCTATAGGAGTGCTGGATGATGGAGCGGGAAGAGTATTTTCACCCGAAGCGAGTGTTATATTACTGGTCGAAGAGTCGGTTGGTGTAGGCACGGTGTTTCCTGTCGTGAAAGTCCCGTTTCCCAATGATGTGCTTGTTGAAGAGCTTGGAAGGCCGCTGGTAGCTGAAATCGCCGTCTCGTTCGAGGAGGGGAAGGACATGGAGAGGGTGCTCAGCTCGGGGCTGATTGTGAAGCTCTGAGAGCTGTTGTCACTGCCAGCAGGAGCACTCGGAACTATCCCTGGTCCAGAAGAAGGACATATGATGCCACCAGATTCGCCGCCACAAGGTCGTTGAGATGCATAGCCTCCTGTGGGCTGAGGTTGAGGCTGTCCTGTTCCAGAGTGTTGAGTTCCCCAAGAGGACCAAGTGTTGGTGTCGTTCCCATAAAACCATGGTCCAGTTTCGTTGCTACAACGGCGAACGTGTCGATTATGCACAACTTAATCTCTGTTAGCACTCAGTGTAGAGCCAGGGAGATGTCATGAGAAGCAAACCTGGACGCTGCTCTGCAGATGTCAGCACAAGCCCTGCAAGGCTGACAAAAAGAGTGACTAGAACGCTCCTCATTGTGTACAATATCCTCAAGAATCCAGGCCTCAAGCTGTCTCTAGAACGAGTCGAAGGTGGTTTAGACAGACAACTTTATATTGCTTGTAGGGTCGGGCTCCTTCGGAACTCTTTGACACGCTGCATGGGGCTCCATCGCCGCACTGAGTTCCCGTCATATCCGCCTCTGCGCATTTCATAACATCATGCTGGGGGATGGCGAAGGTCATCCCTAATCTCGCGTGGAAGTTCTCTTCCGCATGTGGAGCAAATGTATTCCAAAAAGTCCATTCTTTCTTTCTGTCATATTCATTATGGCGACATGCTTCGCGCTCGAGTTCCGATGCCCCAATATGGAAAAAAGAGACTCACATTCTGAGGGGGCCGAATGGTAGCGGGAGCGGCTGCGTTATACCGCAGGGAGCTGTTGATGATATCAGTTGAAATCCCGTCGTTGGCGTAGTTGGAGATCGAAATTGGACTATCGTAGTAGGCAGCGTTGCAGTTTTGCCCCTCAGTGACATGAACTGAGCGTCGAAGAACGGAATTGGAGGTATAACCACATCACTTGTGGAGATCGTTGTTTTTGATATCGGAGAAGTGCATGGGTATGCTGGAGGCGGATAACCTGCAGCGGCTCCTGGCATCACCAAGATGTTGTGCACTTTCCTCCCTTAGCTGCAGCGGAATGAAAGAGGCGAAGGGAACAGTGAATGTCCGGAGCATTTTGTCTGCCTCAAATGCTGGCTTGGAGGCTCAACGAGGGATGAAGCATGCTTGACTGGGAAGATACAACCCAGTAACAATAGTAAGCAAACAGCTGTGCATCCCACGGAGACAGCCAGATTCGAACGGGCTTGACGGAAACCATCTTTCCAGATCCAAGTTCGTGCCACCAGCAGTGAAGGCTGTCACTGCAGGGACGCGGCCAATGCGGCCACCCACCTGCGAGATTGACACATCATGAGTCCGGCGGTACGACTTTCCGTCTTCCATAATGTATTGCAGTACACATGATAAATCGTGACGGGGTGGCGAGTGATTAAACTGAACAACGGCTCAGATGCTGAAAGACGATGCTGGAAGATTGGCGCTCCAAACGGGAATGAGTTCTCTGACTTTCAAACATCTCAGCGGCGGCTGCCCCTGCAATGGCATCAAGGTGTGTGAGAGAGAGAGGGTCGAGTGCTCAGGTGTCCCCCTCAACTCTCATGGTCACAGGCCGGAGACATTGCAACCACATTTCCAGGCACGGAAGCTTGTGATGGAAGTATCGACAAGGTGTGAGACTGCCACAAGATATCATGCAGAGCATTCTCCGTCGTGTCAACGATGAGATCTCCCAATCGTCTTGTTGAAGTGTGAGTATGATCCGTCGTGGGTTGCTTCGCACGCTCATAACAATGCAGTGCAAATGCATAACGTTTATTCTGGAGGAACCATTGCGACAGCGCCATTGTCGACGGATATTGATGCTGCAGATTGGGATGGGACGAAGGCTTGTCGGTAAATTTGTTTGAGTAGACTCCAGCCATGACTTCGATCCTCAGCATCGCATTGTTGGCTTGAGCCTCCAGCATTGAATCTAGGTGAGGGTCCTGGTCTCGCTGGCGGCAATTCTGTAGGCGTACAAGGCACAGTTCAAGCCCTGCAAGACTCGCAAGAGACGAGTCAGAACCGTATTGTTGCTTCCACCGCTCGTGAATATCAATAAGCAACTGCTCGCCTTCTTCGCCTCGACCCGTGCGCGAATAGAACTGGGAACGGCCCATCTGGTGGGCTAATGTCTGATATGCATTAAGTCCAAATGTTTTCACCAGTGCATCGATAATGCATCTGAACACAAGTTCAGTAACGTGATTTGTTAACGAAGCATTGAATTCAGACTTGAGCAGGATCGTCAATGGGTGCTTCGTGCCTAAGATTGTAGATGCGAGGTCAGCCACATGCAATCTGATCCGAGTATGCAGAACCGAGGCATGGCCCATGTTGATCCCGTACGCAAGTTCAACCAGAGTAAACAGCAGTTCGGGGTGAGGATTTCGAAATATCCGTGGAATGGCATCCAAGGTACGCCGGAGAACCGCAAACGCAGCGTCTGTTTTTCGTATCTCCAAGAGGTCGGTGACAATGTAGAAAGCCTCTCTGAAGATTTCAACTTCTTCATTGGTGTCGAAGACTGTCGAATCACACTGAACCAGCGAGGACCATGACGAGGTGTATTGCCCCATCATCCAATTGAAAGATTCGCTTAAAACGTGCTCGATCTTCAGATCGTCACTCGGAGGCCTGAGAGCCGTCGGTCCTCCTGCTCTCCACCGAAACATCAACGCGATTTTAGGATCCCGCACGCGCACATTTTGCCGTGCTGGCCGCATTCGCAATACGTTCCTTGTCTTATCTTCTTCTTCACCTTGTTGTGGCTTCCTTTGAGGACGAATGGTCAGTGCCTTTCGGGCCGATGAGAGATTCTGACGGAGGATAACATCGGCTGAACGCTTTCGGTGATGGATGCCTGCGGCAGCATGGCGCTTGATTCTGTTCTGGTTGTACCCAGAGGTATCTTGGACATCGATGAAAATGAAATTTGACATGATCAAATGTCACCCAGCAAGAATCATCTCAGATATCGCATTCAGGCCGGAAAACAGCGCTTGTATTTTCAGGAGAGGTGAGTTGAAGCGCGCACATGGCTAATGATTAATTCTGTCAAGATAACAATGAGCCGAGAAGAGATGGAGTCGGATGTACTGAGAGAGCGAAGAAGTGAAGTGAAGTGGACGAGGTCATAACTCGGTGGAAGTACCCGCCCCTTGGCTCTCGTAATAGTGCCCGCCCACTACAGATCTAAATACAATGCCGAACACGAACTCAAGAGAGAAGTGGGCCAAAGCCACCATGGCGGTATTGTAGGTATAAAACCTGTGCATCTTGAAAAGGCGTCAGTGGCCGTCGTGGATCAGGAACATGGAGAAAAATGTCGACCAAAGACCATTCGGCCGTATGGGTGGATGGTCCAAGACAAACAAGTATCACCAAAAAAATAGGGCATACTGGAGTACAGAGCGCAAAGAACGGACAAGACACATTGTGTTGGAAAAGGTATGAGAATGGATTCCAACCTGATGGCTAACGCATACAAAGCTCGTCTCCCCTTCCTGCTCAATATTCAAGAGACCAGTACCCTCTTTATCCTCGCAAACTCCTCGGCGCCACCCGCCAGCTGTCACGTTCGTGAATAGCATTCAATCTTCGACCAACTCCGCCACCTCATACGGACGCTCAGGTAAGTGGGATTGGCAAGGGTCCAGCCAGCGTTGCCTTGGTCAAGTCATTGATATTGGTCGCGGTGTTTTGGTTCGTCAGTGCCGCGAACGCAAGCCCAAACATTCCTGGGTGCACATCTGCGTGCAGTTCATCGCCCTGCTGGGTGACGGCAGTGTATGCAGGGACGTTGTTTTGGTTGACCCAAGCCATGTACAGTGGTCCCGAGTTCCACCCTTGAGGGAGCATGGTTGGTTGGCCGACCTTGAAGATCAATTTACCGGGGGCGCTAGGGTTTGCAAATGATGGTCCACCATAGCCGACAATTCCCAGGTCAGGGAAGACGGGGAGAGAAGTGATGGACGAAGGCAAGTTGTGGCATGAGTTTCCGACGATGAAGTCGAGGGCCAAGTTGTAGGCCCAAATGGCACTGATCGGTGTCTCGAATGTGGTAGGATTCGGGATCTCGTTTGCGGTCATGCGGAAAAAGGCGTCGTGACGGGACTCCACAGGAAGAATCGAGGCGACAGTGGCCTCCAAGCCAGGATCAGTCGTGGAAAGACCATCTGCCAGGGCAATCAGAGCGCCAATGCCGACTGTGGTGATGATGTTCCCCAAAGCCAGGAAGCTGGTCTCATCCGTGGTGGGGAAGTTGTACTCGCATGGAGCGACGTCCTGAGCACCATTTGCTTGCAGCAACCCCACGATGGACGCAACGTGAACCTCTTCTTGAGCAGCAATGTGTGATACCACGACCATGTTGCTCACACCGTTCGTCTGTCCTCCGGTTCCCCATTGTGTAAAGTTCATTAGTCCTTCCTGAAAGAAAGCGGACTCCAGATTCTCCAGGAAGTTGGCGAGCTGGAAAGCAGACAACCCAGATTGGGAGACATGCGGGCTGCCAGGTTGATTCGGGAGGCCACCACCTGCTTGTTGAGCGATATTACCAGGTAAATTGGTGCCAGTGACCATTGGCGCAGGTGCTGCAAGAACAGAATTGGCGAAAGAAAGAGCGACGGGAATGAAAAGGGACGACATGGCTGCCATTGTGCAGGAAAGAAAAATTACTGAAAACCCGCTGGGAAGAATTGAAGATGCAGCACAGAGGGTGAGAAAGTGAGGGATCAGGAGGGATCAGCCATGTGTTATACGGCCACCGTCGTGAGCGGAGGGGGGGCTGTTCGTGAGGCAATCTGCTGGGCCGTAAGCACTACCAAAAGCGGGCAACATTGACCCCGGCTGAGGATCATCCTCAGCCACATGGACTGATAACCTTTCGGTAATTCTAAGGCCTTCATCGCAAACTGGTAACAGGCAAACGCGCAACATGGCTCGTCTCTTTTCATCAAGGATCATCAGTTGTGTCCTTCAATCCTTCGTGTCTCTTCCAGTCCTTGGGAATGGAACGAGGCCAATCCATATAGAGCCACGGCGGGAAGACGATGACCAAGAAGGGAAATTCAGGTACGATCAAGCGCCGCAGGGGGCGTTGGAAGAGTTTAATTCAGCTCGGGGGCTGCAAGCGTGTAAGCGATTGATGGAGAGGCTTTCTCTCAGACAAGCTTCGGTAAGCACTTGCATAGGAAAGCTTCAGCTTAAGAGCCCGAAGAGAAAGGGTCCAGTGTCAGTCAGCAACTCCATTTTTAGAGCAGCCAGCATGTGAAGGGCGAAAGGGGGGGCGAAAATCTAGCTGCTCCAGGTATAACGAGGGAGGTAGGATGGAAATTTGACCAGATCCGAGCGGCGAATTGTTGCGCAGATGTGACTGATGCCACGCTGTAGCAAAGTGTGCAAACATGCCAAACTCAATGACTAAGTGAGATCTGTCCGCCCAATCAGGTCACCGAAACGTAATCAACTTGTCTGACGGAATAATCTCGTAGCATTTCTCGAATTTCCGTGATTTCCAAACACTATCTGTCGTCAGACGTATCTCCATATCGTGCTCTATGACGCGCTCAATTTTTGGAGCTTGCGGACGCGAAGAGGAGAAATTCTAGACCTTGTCACAATGGTCTCGAATGTTAGCACCACCATCTCGTCCCTGCTATAACCCGGCACGATGAACACATTCAGCATATGCTCTCAATGCCTTCGAGCATTGAGACAAAGTGTCAGAGCAGAATCAAATGTCCGCTGCACTCCCTTATTGAGTTCCTGCTCCAACAATAAAGTGAACCAGTCCTTTTCCCCGACTCCACGAGTTCAGAGCTCCTCTCCTCCCAGGCGACGTTATCTGTCGTCCACTTCCTCGAGATGGCGGCAAGAAACTGCTCGAAGCGGAACTGAGGCCTCAATGAATCAATCGCTGCCACCCACCACAGCCCCTACCGTCACGTCCAATGTGACGGCATCGTTCCCCAGCAACGAACCCCAATCCAAATCCGAGTCGGAACCACCACCAGAACCAAAAGACAAATCATCTGCACAACCCACCCTCCCCGGCGCCGGTGTAAGCGTATCACAGATGCAGCGCCAAATCCAATCGCACCTCAGCAACCCTCCGAGCAGGTTCAGTCTCCCTACCCGCCTTGCCGAATCACTCAGGAAAAACATGCCGGCCGCGACAAGGACCTACACTATCTATGGCCAAACCGAAGCGATATTCAAATTCTGTGCGGCACCTGCCGACTACACCATTCCACAGGAGCAACGAATGAATATACTCACGGGGAAGGGACCGCCAAAGGCGACGGCACAAGAGGGGGCCGAGCTGGGACAACCTCTACCCGAAAACAAGGACTCATGGTGGTTCAGTACTCTTGATTTGCCGCCTACCTTCTCGACCTGGTCGCAAGTAACGTTTCTGCACATGTATGTTGTCGTGACAAATCTGCGGGCGATGCTCGAATCCGAAACCGAGTATCAGGATTATCACCGCTACCTGATCGAGCATTTTTCAAGGGCAGCAGAGGACAAGATGATACTGTTGCACAATCTTGCTGCCCAGGGGATCCGAAGTCGATACCTCAAGGACCTGTTTTTGCAATATCGGGGGATACTGGCGTCCTACGACGAAGGCCTCATCAAGGGAGACGCGGTTCTCGCAAGCGCAGTATGGAGAAATCTATATCGTGCAGATGAACAAGTGGATTGGGAGAAGGTGTCTCTCGTCGTCGCGTATTTGCGAAGAGCGGTCGGAACAGTTGGGCAATTGACGTGGGAGGAGTTGCTCCAGACTGTGAACAACCAGACGGCGCCTTGGGCCTTTGATCAATCCGAACAGAAGCACCTCCAACAGCTAGTGGCTGCGAGGAGCAAGGGCGTGAACGAGACTCCTTGAGGATTTGGCTGTACTTTTACCCAGCAGGATTGTCTGACCATTTTTGCTTAAGAGCGTCTCTCTTCCCTTGTAATATCCTGCTTTTGTACGAGGGGACCTCAGCCACCCCGCGAAGAAGATAGACTCTCGTATCCGCCAGCGAGACTCGCGACAGATACATCCTATGTACAATACATTACATTACAACACACCTCTACCTAGGTACCTACTAGTCAAAATTTGGGACACGACCCACGAGCTCTGAAGTGTTTAGGATAGAGTACCTACCTGCCCAAGGCACCAAGATATAACCGGTTTATCACGGACAACTGCTCACATGGAGATTGAGCCTCGACCCTAAAGAATGTTTGGTTCCTTTCGATGGAAGAAATTTGTATCGAGATATCAAGATACTAAGATACCAAGATGGACTGATAAACAGATGTACATGGCTACCTACCTAGCACCCTAGGTATGGAATGGGGAAAAGGAGATATAGAACGCAAGATACAAAATACAAAATACAAAACCCTGAATCCATGGGGCGGAGAGACGGTGAGTGAGTGAGTGAGTGAGTGAGTGCCGAGTGCGAGTACAAAACAGGATATTCATGCACCCTACCCTGCCATCCCATGCTATGCGATACCATACCAAAGAATCAATCTCGCTCAGCTCAGATCAGACCAGACCAATCTTTCTGCTTCGTACCTAGTGATAATAGTGAACGTGTTCGATATCTCTCTGACCCTCTCCCTCTCGCCACCTGTCAGGTACACACACTCATATCACAGTCGAACTCGCGGCCCAAAATTCCCCCCACCCTCTCCACCCAATTGCTACCACCACCTCTCGAAAGGAATCTCGCCAAAGAAAAGTGGGGGTAATACAACGGGTGAAATGTAATGTACTTCGCCAAAGAGGTTCGAACCGCAAAGTCCGCTCCGCGCGCGCGAAGGAGGAGCCCACCCAGACTTTTGGGACCACAGCTCTCTCACCTCACCTCGCTTCACCGCGAGGTCCGAGATAATAGCAGATGCAGAGGCCATTGAACAGCAAGACCTTGTAGCCCGGTTCGCATGGCTGGACAAGCCCGGTGCACGGGTACGGCGTGGGGTTGGCGGGAGGGAGAGTCGTCTCCTGAGAGCGGACGGCAGGGGGAATGACCTCTGTGTCTTCATCACGGCGTTGGTACCTCAGGTCCGCGGCCGCAGTGAGTGCCGTCTCGGTGCTTGGTGTACAGGAAGTAGCGGTGTTGTCGTCGGTAGCGGTGGCAGCCAGAGTTGTGTCATGTGGATACACAGCCGCGGGGGCCCTCACCGCCGGGTCACCCTCCTCGTTGGGTTCAACAGCTGGGCGGATGAAGCTGCTGGCCATGTTATACATTGGCCACTTGCAGGAAGAACCATAGCAGGAAGAGAGCATACCCTGGCCAAAAGCAACCCTCTTCATCTGATCGACATTCGCCACTGCTGCTGTAGAAGCGTTCACTCCTCACATGGGTCCACATGTAATCGAAGGTGGGGAGCGCAGTGACAAGTATCTTGCTGCCTAACAATAGACTCAGGGTCCAGAGAGCGCAAGCTTCGAAGGTGCGCATCGTGATAGTGAATAGCGATGATCAAATCAAGTTCAACAGCCTCCGCTGGAAGAATAGGAAGATCAGAAGGTCGTTCGAGAAGGTGCTGGGAGGTATATGAAGAACTTCACTCCTTCGGAGCCGCACCTGGCAAGCCGTGTAGCGCAGGAATTTCCTTGAAATTCAAAGCGGAGGACCGTCTTTATACCTTGACAGCTCTTGTGCACCCATTCGTAGGGAAGGAATAGTCCAACAGCACCACACCGTGTTATTGGAGGCACAACAAGATTCGTCCAAGGGTTGCAATATTCAAATACCCAGCAGAACAACGCCACCTTGCTCTCGATACTGAGAACGTTCGTGACGGGACAACCATCTTTTGGGGCAACACAATATGACGAGTCCTCGATAGAGAGCCTGGAAGTAGTCAGATGTCTCCCATCGGCTGTGCAGTCGGTGAGACAGCTCGCATAAGGGTGATGGCAGTAAGATCTCGCAGCAGAAGTCGTTGGTTGGATCAGGACTTGAAGCCTCCTACTTTCTCTGCGCCGATTTGCTTGTTGCAGTTGCAGCTCCAGGGAAAGCCACTCCTTATCAAGCAAGAAGACGGACGAGGCGGCTGCTGTCTCAATGACCTGGGAACATGCATAATTCGATCGGCATTCCCCACAACCGGTGTTGGCTGGTAGAAGGTACTTACATAGGTACATTGCCGAACCCTTGGATCGGTTCAAAATGCGGCTAATAAGGTCAATCCCACGAGGTTGACATGAATTCTCGCCAGACACCTGTCTTCAGTGGCATGTTTGAACGCTTGCAGACTTCATGTCTCCTGTTAAGGACCCTGGTGATGGAAACAAGGACTCCCTCCCAATTGGGAGATGAATTTGACTGGGTGAAGAGACTTGGTTTCTCATTTCCTTGGGGATTGGCCTCTATTGAGAATGGCCTCGCCAGGAATCAACAAGGATTCTCCTATTCGAGTATGATGTGGCACACCGAAACCCTTCATGCTGTGTATGGAGGTGAGAAGTAGTCGACCCTCGAGCAAGCAAAGCGACAGCAAGGTACAAGGATCGGTCCAGAGGAACAAAAGTTCCAATTGCGCAGTTTGTGACTCCGGTGGAGAATGCGGCCAAACACGCTGTTCGCGAGATGGACATGTTGGCCGCATGTGCATATCAATCAACCCTCCAATTCCACACTTGTCCCTCAAATTGTCCGGCCACGTTGCTCAAGCGCAAACCTAGTCCTGGTTCATTCTCCAAGTTCCTTCAGACTGTTCACACTATGACGCCGAGTTCATAGAATTGTGCTGCTGCGCTTTGAAACGCCTGACAAACCCGTCCTTCTGCCCCTGCGAGGGCGAAGCTGCCCACCATGCTCCTCCTCCGTCTCATCTCCCGTCTTCTCCCTCTCTTTGCCCTCATCACATGTTCGCTCGCGGCCGAAGACCTCTACAAAATCCTTGGGTTGGACAGATCTTGCTCAGAACGTGACCTCAAAACAGCTTATCGAAAACTTTCCAAGAAGTACCATCCAGACAAGGCCACGGGAGATGAGAAGAAGTTTCTGGAGGTGGCAGAAGCATATGAAGCCCTATCTGATCCTACGACTCGCAAGATATACGATCAGTACGGTCATGAAGGGCTAGAGAACCACAAGCGAGGAGGGGGTGGAGGTGGTCACCCTCACGACCCTTTCGACCTTTTCTCCAGATTTTTCGGTGGCGGAGGCCATTTTGGTCGTGGAGGCGGCAGTGGAGTGCGGCGAGGGCCTGATCTAGAAGTCCGATTGCACGTACCGTTGCGGGACTTCTACACTGGTGGAGAAACGGAGTTTACAATCGAAAAGCAACAAATCTGTGATGAGTGTGAAGGGTCAGGTTCTGCGGATGGCCAAGTCGAGACATGTCATAAATGTGGCGGTCGAGGTATTGTCATCCAGAAGCACATGCTGGCACCGGGAATATATCAACAAGTGCAGATGGGATGCGACCAGTGCGGGGGACAGGGTAAGAGCATCAAACACAAATGCAAGGTTTGCGGAGGAAACAAGGTCGTCAGAGGTCCCACGACCTTGACTGCTGTGATCGAGAAGGGAATGCCCAAGGGTCACAGACTTGTTTTTGAAAGTGAAGCCGATGAACATCCCGACCACATTGCGGGCAACCTCTACGCCTACATAATGGAGACAGAGCCAGGCATCCACGAGAACGAGGCGGAGCGAACTGATGGAGTGTTCTTCCGGCGGAAGGACAACGACCTATATTGGAAAGAGGTTCTCTCACTCAGAGAGGCGTGGATGGGCGAGTGGACTCGCAACATTACGCACTTGGACGGGCACGTTGTCCCGCTGTCCCGCAAGCGCGGCGAAGTCGTTCAACCCGGCCAGACCGACACGATCAAGGGCGAAGGCATGCCCATTTATCGAGAGGGACACGTTCACGAACACGATCATGATGCCCCCGATTTTGGAAATCTGTATGTGCAGTATGTGGTGGTGCTGCCGGATCAGATGGAGACGGGGATGGAAAAGGAGTTTTGGGCCGTGTGGGAGAAATGGAGGAAGAAGAAGGGCGTGGATTTGTTGAAGGATAGCGGAAGGCCCGAGCCAAGTGTATTTGTAAAAGATGAGCTTTAGATCATTTGCTTGGTTGGAACCTTAGATGGTGTGCAATACGATAGATTGACGGACTGGGCTTGTCCTCTGCTGGATTCTGTAAGAGACGTCGAGTCGACTGGTCCGCTTTTCGCTGACTACTACCGAGTACACGACAAGTGGTCTCCCTCTCGCGCTAGAGTGATATACCCCCTCAATCTCGCAACAACCCCTCATCTTTGCCTGTCTGCTTGGCACCTCGCAGTGGTTTCTCGGCTACTTGACCACCCATTCACCTTGTAGTATCTTAAGATTTTGGGAATGCAAGGCTGCCAAGGGGCTAGACAGAGTGGTTTCCAGCCAAGCTTTACCCGTCTCCTACGTGTAGTGACGTAATACCAAGATCACGCAACGGGCCGCAGCTGGGCGGCGTTAGGCCACTTGGCCACGACAGTGGCACGAGTGGTCACGTTACTCAATCAGACACTCGCATTCTGGTGATTGCACACTTCAGTGCCACAGAGCCTTCGAGTACTCGGTAGGTAAGATCGTCCCGAGCCCCCTGACGTGTGAATAAGTGATGGACAACGATAGGAGAGTAGCTTGGGGGGCCTGAGACCATGGTTCCATGTTTGAACGCGCAGTACGAGGTAGTCAAGCCTGAGGCAGCCTGCAGCTAAACAGTCGCTCGTTAGTGCCCCATGACCATCTACTCAGTAGCGAGTAGTATATGCCCTGCACCGGAGAGAGCGGTGTCCGGTCGCACAATGGCTTTTAGTTCGCTCGACCAAACAGGGTTCATCTGATGATGGTTCTGACAATGCTTGACTTGGTCCAACTACTGTCTCTTTGATTCCTGAAATACCATCAAGAAAGAATTGCTGTGGTATTCAGTCCCCCCATACCGATCCAACCAAAGTCAACCTTTTCGTTGTCGTCCTCCAAAGTTCAAGAGAGTGTCAGTCAGAATGTGGAGGGCGGGGATAGCGCAAGGTCTACCTCTCTACCACAGCACGATTCTTAACACACGGTCTCGGCTAACGCTTGGGCGTGACAGAGGACATCCAGGAAGAACGAGACCCGACGGTGGCCGGAGTAAAGCCACTTCCATTCCAAATCGACGCCCAGGATGAAAAGACCGATCGAGGAGACTCTGAAACTAGTCTACACTTTCCCCGCCCCAAACGCAAGGAAAATCCATCCAGGCTCACCCGTTCAACGTCCAGCTCGCTCAAGGCCCAGCTTACAAAGCACCCGTCTCAGTGCGCGCGGTCACATGGGATGAGAACCCGGCCCAAGATGACGCAGAGAGCCATAGAGGCGCAGGACGGCGCATATGTCGTGGTCGGCATCCAGGATAACCCGACAGGATTGAAGCGCGAGGTGCTGGTGTCGTTGTCAAAGGGCGACAAGCCCGTCGATCTCTTTGAAGGGATCCGAAAGACGGCCTGGAAACTGCGGCCCCTGCACCACCGACTCCTCTCGCTGAAACATGTGGGAGGGTTTGGAATCTACGAATGCCATCCCGCAGACGACTACCACACTCCTGTAGAAATTGACCGGCAGACCGAGGCGGCGCTGGCTGAACTGTACACCGCGTATCGACACGACTGGCACGACAAGGACAACATGTGGCGAGGCTGGATCCATCACTACTTCAACGAGGGAGACCGGTTCCCGGACAGGGGCAGATATGCGCTCCAGCTGGTCCTGTCGTGGTCGATTCGGAAGATCCTCATCTGGAGCGCAACGCCGCTGGTGCTCAGTCTGGTCATTGGTTTCTGGTACATGTACAAACCGCGGGATCCGGGGTCTGACCCGGTCGCCATTACCCAGACAGCGTGGACCATTTCCTCATATATTGTCACGACTGCGGGAGGTGAGTATATCCTAACACGGTTCGCCTCTTTCCTTGAGGGCTTTGTCTACCTTGTAAAGGAAATCTGCTTACAAGCGCATCAAGTGGCAATTGCTATTTTGGCGGCCATCACCAGCATCAGAGATGTCTGAGTGGAGTGACTACTTGTTGTATGAGAGCACCTGTCTCAGGATTTACTCAGGATTTAAAGACTCGAAACATTTAATCTCAATACTTGAGACTTACGACTCTTCACCGATGCCTTGAAACCTGCTCGGAAGCGAATCTGACAAAAGTTCAGAAATTGCTGCCCGCATTGGTGCCAGCAACAAAAACAACCAGAATGGTGGCATATCTTTAACCAGTCACAGTCAGCCATGAACAGCATTGACCAAGGTGGACAATAGCTTTTGTTTCTCGAGTGCAGTGATGGAAAGATGTCACGTACGTCGCTCCAGCCATGAAAATCTCAATGGATCTTGCCTTGATAACGACGGAGACTATCGCTATGAACAAACTGGCCGCGACGCCGACAACCACGATCCGCGCCGTCATGTTCTTTTGTGCGCTGCAAATCACCATGGGGATGAGCAGGAGAAGGATCAGGAGGACGGCGATGAGGAACCGAGTCGCCCGTGTCAACGCCGAGCTGGTACAGATGTACACGTTGGGATCCCTCGAGACGTTGTGGAATGGAAGCTAAGCCGGGACAAGCGTCCTTGTAGGTAAGCAAATGAGCGAGTCAGACGGCTATGGTCTACACAAGCCGCTTTGGTCCTCGACGAGGGCTCACCTCTCTAAAATCTTTCCAACAGTGTATGAGTCGATCCGCCAGCCAGGCCTCGACTCGGGCCACAGCGTCGTCTGGCAACGGTGCAATGCTCACCAAGTCCCTAGGCCGGAGAAGGTATGCTGTCTCGTCCCTCGCTAAGCAAGCGTTGCCCTCGACCCAATGATCCAGGCTCGAAATGTCCCGGGTTTTGGCAGGGTCGAGGGACAGGATCTGTCGACTCCTCTCGATCATCGAATCTGAACGACACACTCCCTCTTCAGCAAAGCTTCCTCTCCGAAAGTCCCGAGACAAAGAGGGGAGGCGTGAGAAAACGAAAATGGTGTGAACTTGCCATAATCCACCAAAGCGGTATCGATGCGTGATAAGATGGCCTCTCGCTCCACGTTCTTGTCCCGCCTGCAGCTCGCGAGAAAGAGCGGGTTGGGTTCCTGCTGGTCGACCATCTCAAGCTGCTTCTCGAGCGCGGCCAACTTGTCCTGCTTCAGGAGGAGGAGACGAGCCCGCAGGGTCGAGAAGCGACGGTACACGTGGAAGGCGTTGTGCGTGGCGACTAGGGTAGAGAACCGCGGGTAACCCTGAGGGTAGTCCTCGACTTGACGACGGGGAGAATCTATCAGCACTCTATACACACCATCCCCATCTCATTCACAATGAAACGAGTCGTTGTGAAAGAGGCGCCTCGAAGGGAGCAGTGGATTACTTACTCTGCCGATCCGGCAAGTCTTCAGCCTGGGTATTGTGTCTCAGAGACAGAGACCACCTTTGCATCCAGCCTGTCAAGATCCTCCCCATCCCATTCATCTTGTCTTTGATCACTGCCTTTTCTTTTCGGCGGTAATATGGGCGAATCTGACCCCTCTCTTGATCAGAAGCCTAGCTCGGCTGTTCGTTCTGACGCTCTTTTCCTTTCTCTCCCTCTTCTTCCCACTAATTTTTCCTAAACGTAGTCTAGTCATGATTGCTTGACAAGGCAAAGACAAACTTTCAAAACTGCGCAAATTGCCAGCAAATCCGAGTCGAAACTGATTGGTGAGAGATCAGGGGAAAAGGGAAAGAGAGTGAAGCCGTAACGCAACCACGATTATTCCGATGATTGGAGGGAAAAGGGGGTCGAGCGTCAGGCAGCTCTAGCTTGCTAGCTGGTCGGCTGACCTGAGGTGGGAGACATGTTTGTGTGTGATTGGTATATATGTACACAAGTACATCGAGTGGAGTGGCTCGTTTGCCTTTTCTTGTTTCATTCTCTTCTGCCTCGCTTTCGCTGCCTAGGACTCAGCCTCATCTACATAGGTACCGAGGCCGCCACCTTGGTCATTACGGACCCAATACGTATCGTGCGATTCGCGGATCATTTCTCAATTTATCATACAACGGACCAGACCAGCGGCCATACTATACATACGTGGCTGACAACCCTGTACATTTGTGAGGGTTTCGATATGGACGCCCAACAATCCGGGTATGTTGGCACTCAGATCCCCAGATCCTCATGTCCACTTCCAGCACGCGCGCTTCTAACAAGTCGCACACGCGTGCGGGCAGGGATGAGAGCCCCAGGTTCCGCGTCGCCGACACGGGCGGTCGTCCGTACATCAAGCCCTATAGCTTGGTGAGTTGTCTTGCTCTGATGTACCAGTCGACAGACAGACAGACAAGCCAGTCTTCTCGAGAAGTTTCCAAATCTGATTCGCTCCGTGGGGCTAGGTGAAGAAGTACCGACCAGGCGACCAGGTCTATTTCACCGCGCCGGACTCGAATCCCCGTGTCCGCCAGGGTCCGTACACCGTGCGCTCACCGGCCGGGGAGGGCAAGTACATCCTCGTGGACGAGGGCGGGAAGGTGGTCAATGGCGGCCAGGCGGTCAGCGAGACGGATCTGGAGGATGCTGCTGCTTAGGAGACAGAGAGACAAGATAGACAGACTCATGCTCTGCCGGCCCTCTAGGGAGTACAAAGATATGGAGAATGATAGTAGTGAGGCCGAGTATATGTGACGTTATGACTCGTGCTCACAAGCCTCTCTACCAAGAATACAGGATGCGGTTTAAATACAGGGACAAGACTTCCACTGCTGGCTCCATGAGATCTGAACCAAGTAACCAGAATGCGCGAGGATATTGCTTGTTAGGGCTAACAACATATCGATACGTTACCGTTCCACCTCCGAGGGTCCACAGGTGGACAGACCAGTCTACATCACCCCGGACCCCTCATCTATAGTGGTGCGTATAACAAAGTTCAATGCCTGCCAGTTCTCGGACAAAACCCCTGCTCTAGCTCCTCGCATGGGCGAAGTAAGCCTGAGAAGAAAGGTCGACATGGTGTCCTGTTCTCCACGCAGGCCAGAACCAACGTCGTCCGCAGATTTCGGGAGCTGCTTCAAGGACAGCCGGTCGATCGAGGTTGCTTCACTTGTCACAAAGAATTTAAAAACATCTTCGCAGTATTTCCGCCCCTGGGCCACAATGTCGTCTGGCACTATCATGTCGATCGTCATCTTGCGATTTTCACTCCCTCCACGAACCTCGATATAGTCCGTGCCATCGTCTTGAATCATGTTGACGATCTTCCAAGAAGGGCGCAGGTCGAGCAGGTGGACGTATATTGAAGCTTTGCCAGTGTTTTGAATCTTGATTGTCAACGTATCCTTATTTTTGACGTCGAGAACGCCGGCATTTACCGCACACTTTCCCTCTGGGGTTTGAAGTTGAATGGAGAACGACTCAGAGAATGGTGGCATTGGATGGCGGTTCTCGATTGCTTCAATTGATTTGTAAATCGCGACATGCTCAAGGATACTGATGGCAACATCTATTGCGTCGTCTCTGCCGCAGGGCACAGTTGGAAGACACACCAGTGGCTGACTTGACTGGTCTGTGACTTCGTACTCACGACGACTGTTCACGCGGATTTTGAATGCACAAGGTTGGCCACCCAGATCGTCTTCACAAAATCTGAGAAACGTTCTGGAATTAGACCTTTGGTGCCAGGTTTTGATATCGTCGTCCTCTAGGCTGAGTTGTATCATAGTATTCTGAAGCCGCAGCTGAGTGCGAGGCGTAGCCACCCAGCCCGACTTGACCCTACCAAGAGAAATGTCTGGGGCGGACGACACCAAGTCCGATGTGAGACCGCGGACGAGACTCGCAGTGACCCGAATATGACTGTCCGATCTGGGATCTGCATTGCGTGCTTCTGTCAATGGGCAAAGTGCAAAATCGTCACCGCGTTGAACGCCGTGCGCATAGCCAGCTCGTAAGCACAGTTGGCTACCTTCTTGGGGGAAGAAAACAGTGCTGAAAGCATTGTCGCCATTGACCAAACGTTTTCCAAACCATGAGAGTGTCTCGTTGCCGAAGCGTCTAGGGTTCTGGTGAGGTACTGAAGCATGAAATCTAGCACAGATGTGCTGATACAGAGCTTGGGTATCCATCTCAACACCCGACCTTCTCAACGCCTTTAGTGCCCGGAGTAAGAAATATGTGAGCGCGCCGTGAAACTTTCCATCATCGAACTCAAACTCTTCAGCAGTCTCGTATGGTCCACAGGCACAAAGAGTAGCATAGCCTTCTGGATTGATCAACCACTGAGGGGCCATTCTGCCGTCGCGAAGAGGCCCCTGACCCCTATGAGGAAGGGAGGAATAAGTAGCAGCGATACTGTTGTAGTAGTCTATACTTCTCACCTTTGGTCTGCTCCTGGATCCGTCTCGGGTGACGCCTCCAGAGAAGCAACAGTCAAGAACTAAAATGACGACCAAGCTCTTGTCCACCATTGCCTTTAAGAGCCTTGCTAGCTCGCTTCCCGGAAGTTTCCTCATTCCGTGAGCTTCGTCATACAGGACCAACGCAAACTCCTCCGTGTCAAGATGTGGATCTTGGCTATTTGTTAGGGGAGTCCGACCTGTTGTACCATGACCCGAGTAATGAATGTATACTGTATCTCCAGCTCTTGCTTGCTCTTTTATCCTCTCTAGCCCGCTAGTGACATTTTCGTATGTGGGTAGTAGGGCAGGTTCTTCCGAAGGGACGTTAGCAGTAGGGTCGGAAGGTTGACTCGCCGTGAAGACTGTGGCATCAATGTGAGGCGCGCTCTCGTCCAGGAATGCCTTGACTGATGTGACATCATGAACGCAGCCGTTCAAGGACTTGTTGTCGCGGTAGAAGTTGATTCCGATCAACACCGCCCACCCCCTAGGCTTAGTATCTGCCATTTGAGATAAGTATACCACTGACGAGGGAGTCTTTTGGCAGTGCGAACGGGCTCTGTCTGTGACTGCGGCACTGGGTAATCCGAGTGAGGCTGGAACCCCCAACAGAACTGAATTGATCACTTCAGCTGCTCTGCAGTTTGTCACGGCCTTGGCATGAAAGTGACAATTCTAGCATCGTGGAGGTGATGAAGCACTTTCTGGAATTGAGGAGTCACTCCTGCCTTGTCGTTCTACGCCTTTCTGTCTCTGCTGAGGACAACTCTTGGGCTGGTTGCCTCGTCTTCGCGACGGAAGTATGCAGGTGCACTTGGGCAATCGACGCCTTGCTAACTACGAAGTCTGAAAGAGCAGGAAACACATGCACACTTGCAGGTTCACTTCCGAGCAGAACTCCAATAGATCACTCCCCACGCCTACCTACACCTGTTATCGTGGACTTCATGACTCAGCCGCGGGCTGCGGCTCAACGCCCATGCGCAGGGAGCTTCCCCAATCCGTTCAGGTGCATGAAGCGGCTGAGAGGATGCCTGGCTCTGGTGGAGCCACGTCAGCAGCAGGCTGAAGTCGAATGTGATTCATGGTATACCATGCTATTTCATCGATGGCTTGTGATCAGCTATCTCAATTCATACATGACTGTCATCGACCTGGGGTCCGTCCTCGCCTGGACTTGTTTACAAAATTCTGCCAGAGATTGTCCTATATGCCGTACAGAGTCCATATTGGATTGAAATTATGGAAGAAAGAGAAGAGGCCATTAGGACCCTAGATGGGGAAATTGAAGACATGCAAGAGATCGTCAACAATATTCCTGAGGGTAATCCACTTAAGGCGAAGGCATTCAGTCGACTCGGGAGCCTATTCAAAGAGAAGTTCTACATCACTGATCACGAGAGTGACATTGACAATGCGATTACAAATGCACTGAAGGCTGTCGCTGCGACTGAAGACGGGCACAATCGTCGTACGTTCCTAAATGATCTTGGGATTTATTACCGGGAGAAGTTTTTGATCAGTGACGACTTGCCAGACATTGACAAAGCGGTCAACTATCTCAGGGAAGTCATTGACACCTACTCACGTGAGGATCTGATCCCAGCAAGAGTCTTTAACAGTCTCGGAACGGCTCTTGGAGATCGGTATCTGAAAGATGGGAAGGACGCAGATATCGATGAAGCGATAGAGCACATCAGGAACGCGATCAGCGCTACACCCGCCAATGACCCAGACAAGGCAAGACTCTTGAACGACTTGGCAAGTCTCCATGGAGATCGATTTTCGAATAAAGGCGAAAAGCCTGACCTTGATGAGGCTGTCCAGAACGCCCACCAAGCGATTCAGTTGACTCCGGAGGATCACCCAATGTATGCGACCCGTTCGAATAATCTTGCGACTCTACTGCGAGACCGGTATCGAATCGATTCGAAAGAAGGAGATCTAGACGCAGCGGCAGGCTTCGCGCAACACGCGGTGAGAGCCAATACCCACAATAAGTCGGAACGTGCAATATATTTGAGCAATCTAGCCAACATACTGGGCGAGAGATCTGTGAGAAGAGACTCTCAGGCAGCGGACTTGGACCCTGCTAT